AAAAAAACGTACAGTAGCCCAGCCTAATAATAATTTGTCTATATTAAAAGTATTGCTCTTAACAGACCTGTGTGTTTTGTATCACTAGTGCAGTGTCCGTTTTCGAAGCCGTTCTGTAGTTTATTAAACGTTTATTAATTCTGAACGTGTCGCCTGTCCATATTGCACCAAAATGCGACACTGCACTCCCTTGGGTCCGCAGCAACACACCCGCCACGCGTGAAGTCGATTGGATGAATGGTTCTCGACACAATAAAAATGCAAACAGACACACAGAGATTCCTGCCTTTATTAGAGATAAGAATATGTTCAGCCCCCTCCCTCCGAAGCTTCGAATATTCGGTGTTGATTACTACCAAAGCTTCGAAGCTCAAAAAATGGTATCCGGACCAGCCCTACTTGATGCATTATTGTGTCTCATTGGTGTGAGGACGCAGCATCAGTCCTGAAAGTGCTTATCTGAAGATGATCTACTTACTGTGATTGTTTTTTGTATGATTGTGTAAAGCAGATGAATGTTTGAAACGCTTCCCACATGCAGTGCAGTGATACGGTTTCTCTCCAGTGTGGATCCTCTGGTGTCTTTTCAGGTGTCCTGAATCATTGAATCTCTTGTCACAGTGTAAACACTTATAAGGTCTCTCTCCAGTGTGGATCCTCTCATGTTTTTTCAGGATTCCTGACCGACTGAATCTCTTGTCACAATGAGAACACTTGTACGGTTTCTCTCCAGTGTGGATCCTCTCATGTATTTTCAGATGTGTTGACTGACTGAATCTCTTGTCACAGTGTGAACACAAATAAGGTTTCTCTCCAGAGTGAATCCTCTCATGCAGTTTTAAACAATTTGCTGATATAAAAGTCTTTTCACACTCAAAGCACATGTACTCTTTCACACCAGTATGTATTTTCTGATGTCCTTTCAAATTTTGAAGACACGAAAAACTCTTTCCACACAAATAACATGAATGTGGCTTCTCCTTTGTATGAACTTTCAAGTGTTTCTTCAGGTCTGAAGCCCTCAAAAATGTTTTGTCACATTGATCACATGTGTACAGCTTCTCTTCAGTGTGAATGTTCATGTGTACCTTAAGGCTTGATGATTTTGTGAAACCTTTCCCACATTGATCACAAGTGAACGACTTCTCTCCAGTATGAACTCTCATATGCTCCATAAGGTTTCCTTTTTGAGTGAAACTTTTCCCGCACTGACCACATGTGTATGGTTTCTCTCCAGTGTGGATCCTCTCATGTGTTTTCAGGTCTCCAGTCTGGCTAAATCTCTTGTCACAGTGTGAGCACTTATAAGGTTTCTCTCCAATATGAATCCTCTGGTGTGTTTTCAGATGTCCCGAGTGACTGAATCTCTTGTCACATTGTGAACATTTATAAGGTTTCTCTCCAGTGTGGATCCTCTCATGTGTTTTCAGATGTCCCGAGTGACTGAATTTCTTGTCACATTGTGAACACTCACAAGGTTTCTCTCCAGTATGAATCCTCTGGTGTGTTTTCAGATGTCCTGACTGACTGAATCTCTTGTCACAGTGTGCACACTTGTATGGTTTCTCTCCAGTATGAATCCTCTGGTGTGTTTTCAGATGTCCTGACTGACTGAATCTCTTGTCACAGTGTGCACACTTGTATGGTTTCTCTCCAGTATGAATCCTCTGGTGCTGTTTTAAACAGTTTACTGAAATAAAAGTCTTTTCACACTCAAAGCACATGTACTCTTTCACACCAGTATGTATTTTCTGATGTCCTTTCAAATTTTGAAGACACGAAAAACTCTTTCCACACAAATAACATGAATGTGGCTTCTCCTTTGTATGAACTTTCAAGTGTTTCTTCAGGTCTGAAGCCCTCAAAAATGTTTTGTCACATTGATCACATGTGTACAGCTTCTCTTCAGTGTGAATGTTCATGTGTACCTTAAGGCTTGATGATTTTGTGAAACCTTTCCCACATTGATCACAAGTGAACGACTTCTCTCCAGTATGAACTCTCATGTGCTCCATAAGGTTTCCTTTTTGAGTGAAACTTTTCCCGCACTGACCACATGTGTATGGTTTCTCTCCAGTGTGGATCCTCTCATGTGTTTTCAGATGTCCCGAGTGACTGAATTTCTTGTCACATTGTGAACACTCACAAGGTTTCTCTCCAGTATGAATCCTCTGGTGTGTTTTCAGATGTCCCGAGTGACTGAATCTCTTGTCACATTGTGAACATTTATAAGGTTTCTCTCCAGTGTGGATCCTCTCATGTGTTTTCAGATGTCCCGAGTGACTGAATTTCTTGTCACATTGTGAACACTTGTATGGTTTCTCTCCAGTATGAATCCTCTGGTGCTGTTTTAAACAGTTCACTGAAATAAAAGTCTTTTCACACTCAAAGCACACGTAGTCTCTCACACCAGTATGTATTTTCTGATGTTCTTTCAAATTTTGCAGACATGAAAAACTCTTTCCACACAAATAACATGAATGCGGTTTCTCCTTTGTATGAACTCTCCGGTGTTTCTTCAGGTCTGAAGGCCACAAAAAAAAATTTCTGCATTGGTCACATGCATGCAGCTTCTCTCGAGTGTGGATGTTCATGTGATCCTTAAGGTTTGCTGAGTGTGAGAAACTCTTTCCACATTGATCACAAGTGAATGGCTTCTCTCCTGTATGAACTCTCATGTGAATATGATTTTTCTCCTCAACTTCACTCAACTCTTTAATCTCCCTGTTTTCTTCAATCAACTCTGAAATAAAATAAAAAAAATTTCTGTAACTCATAAAAACAGAAATGTGAAAGGACATAAAAGTAAACCCTGATGTAACAGCCTAATATAGACAATTGCATAAAAAAATTATAGGCACAAATCGTCTCAGGTTATGTATGTAACTAAGGTTCCCTGAGAAGGGAAGGAGACACTGCGTCCTCTAGGGGTCGTTATGGGGGAACACCTTCTGTGTGACCGGTGTCTGAAGCAAACATCTAAAAACGACAATATCATTGGCCGGCGACAGCCTATGACGTCATTACCCGGCGCAACACAGTATAAAAGGGCGTCGAGAGAACACGTCATCCACTTCTTCGTCTGAAGCTTACGTCCGAAGCATGGCAAGGGAACTAGAGGACACAGTGTCTCGTTCCCTTCTCAGGGAACCATGGTTACATACGTAACCTGAGACGTTCCCTTCCGAGGGAACATTGAACTGCGTCCTCTAAGGGTCGCTATGGGGAACGGTATACCCACACTGCCATGCTGAGGGGAGTGCACCAAGTATAAACTCTACCATAGCCATGGGAGTTGCCCCTAGGAAGCCTTGACGGCTGTCAGTGACATTATCCCCACCGGCCAAGGGCCTGAGCTGCATACCCTAAACAACTTACCTGAAAAGGGCTCGGCTGAGAAGCCCGAGCTCAAAGGCTTGGAATCAGAAAAAAGAGATTCCTTTGAGAGGATACGGCCAGGTGTCTAAAAAAACCAGACCCTGGCCTGTCACCCAGGGGGCTACTACCAGCTCTGAATGAGCTTGCTCAAAGAACTGACTCAACAGATCTTTGGTAGCAACACCCTGCTCAGAAATGTATCAACAGGGATACATGGGTTGAGTGGAGCCCAAGGTGAAAACTGGGGCCTAACCAACTCAGAGAAAGGAAATGAGGCTGACAGCACATAACCCTTACCATACAGGATTTTAGAAAGTGAGCAGAATGCCTAGAGTGCACACTTACCACAATGTGGTTTTTAGAAAGTGCACAGAAGCTCAGCGTGTGCATTTACCATAGCATGGATTTAGAAACACCGTTACTAAGGGGTAACCAAAACTGTCACTTAGACAGGCCTGGGAACCCTTCGTGACTGTGGCACACCCAGGGAGTGGTAATTAACTCAGCGGAAGGCTGCGTGCTCAGAGTGCATGTGGATTGAAAGGTGTATCTCATAGAAAAACCCTCTATGAGAGGGGAGAATCGCCAACTCAACCATAACAGTCACAGACAGACTGCGGAGCATCAACTCATGCATAACTAGAAGGGGCGTAGCACCCAGCTCTCAGACCGAGAGGGGGACAGCAGTGCCCGACTGTGAAGCAGCGTGCTCGTAAATAACCCTCCAGGGTGAGGGGAGCACTGCTGAGCTCACCAAGAGAGTAGCCTAAGAGGGAAGCAGAGTCCCGATGTGCTACCCAACGAAGCCACAGAGTGAAGGATTCGACTCTCAAATGAGAGGGACTCAGATGCTCAGAAGTGAGTGGTGTGCTTGCAAGAGACCCCCCAAGGTGAGGGGAGCACAGCTAGCTCACTCAACAAGCAACCTGCCAGGGAGGCAGGAGATGGCCCAGCAACCTGTCATGACTGTTAATCGGAGCTCAAAGGAGCGGAGGCCCAACTCCCACTGCTAAGCTCGACCAACAAAGAGAGCAGCCTAACAGGGAGGCAGAGAGAGGCCTAACAACCTGAGGCTGCTACTCAATGGAGCTCCAAGGAGCGGAGGACCCGATGAGAGGAGACCTCAGAAAATCTGAATGAACGGATAAAGACCGGAAAATAACGGTAATTTTAATTTGTTAGACTATTTTTTTTTAGTGACATAAAGATGATATTTCTTGAAATGAATTCGAATTAAGGAGAGAGAGAGAACGAACGAATAAACGCATGCACCCACGTGCGAGTGAGCGATTGTGAAGCATTGCAAACAAGCTTGTCGGTTTAATTACAAAAACGGCTAAGTTATCACCTCATTGCTGAGAAATATATGTAGCTTTTAGCTGTTGTATTTTCAAAATTCACGGGGCGGGGGTTGAAAACCAGCTCCTGAATGTGCAATTTCTTACCTATAAAAAGTTTCCATCTCAGTAAAATGCGAGCGCAATCAGCACGCCGGCATTAAAACGCCATTAAAAATCTTTATGAGCAAACGTGTCGCACTCGCATTGGGAGTTCTGTGGAGAATCAGATATGTGTGTTTAGACGTAGGTCGGATGTCTAGATATCAGATGTGTATCCGATTAAAATCCACATTTGGAAGTGGCTCAGATCGGATGCAAAAAAATCGGATCTCGTGCGGGTTTTTGTGTTTACACGTGTGCAACAAATTCCGATCTGTGTCAGATGTGAGCGAAAGATCGGATTTTTTGTGCCAGTGTAAACGCAGCCTCAATTGGGAGTGGCGTGCTCAAAGGAAACCCTCTAAAGTGAGGGGAACACTGCTAAACTCACCAACAAAGAGAGCAGCCTAACAGGGAGGCAGAGAGAGGCCTAACAACCTGAGGTTGCTACTCAGTGGAACTCCAAGGATCGGAGGACCCGGTGAGAGGAGACCTCAGACGCTCAATTATGAGCGGCATGCTTAAAGGTAACCCTCCAGGGTGAGGGGAGCACTGCTAGGCTCGACCAAATAGGGGCAACCAATCAGGGAGGCAGCAAGCGGCCAAACTACCTGATGCCGCTGTCACAGAGCTCAAAGAGCGAAGGGCTCGACCCTTAGCTAAGGGAGAGGAACCCAGCTCAACTGAAGCGATCAATAGCCCACGGGCAAAGTACCTAGCTCTCGGGTAGAGAGAAGGACTCATATAATCTGCCCAGGACCAGCGAGCTCATAAAAGACCCTCCCGCAGTGAGGGGAGCACGGCCATGTCCAGGGAGCAGATTGACCGCAAATGGTACATCAGAAATGGGATCCAGCTTAAAAGGGGATCGCACATTTCAACAGGGAACAACAGGGTCCCAGCATAGAGGCAACTGACCAAGGAGGCGACAGGGACGGACCTAACAACTCGGTATTGTTGTATATGGAGTTCTCGGGAGCAGCGCTCTTCGGCTCTACTGCTCCTCAGAGCCGAAGCACTCAGGAAGGGTTTCTGCAGAAACACATCTCACTCTTACCTCAGGGAACGCAGTGTACTCAAGCCCACTCCGCAGAGGGGCGATTCAACGGTTCGACCTTAAGGACAGTGTGACAGGGAGGTCCCGTGGGCCTGACTGACTATCGAACTTCAGAGTGGAACTAAGGAGTGTTAGGCCACTCAACGCCTCAACGAGAGGAGCTCTAGCTCAGAGAATGTGCATGATGGTTGTGAGGATGACTCAAATCTCAGGAGACCCCTCAGTGTGAGACATGAGCAGGGCGTCCTGGCCGGGGCAGCTTCTCGAAGCAAACACCCAGCCAGGACATCAGGGAGCACACATCACAAAGCATTATACTCCAAAAAATGCTCAACCCGAATGGAGCAACCGAGGGTCCTGAGGTTGCAGCGTTATACTGCGGACCTGATCAGCTAAAAAGGCTCTCACAGAGGCCCAGCGACTTGGCTGCGTGGTCCAGTAAGCATAAAGCCGAAGATGCAGGGCTATCATCCAGCCTGGATCCAGTACCGAAGGGTGAGCTACCATCACCACGATTGGTCAACAGGGAGAGGTTCTGACTTTAGCAGGGGAGGTGCTCGCAGAGATCCTAACCCACGGCTCCCGCGCATGACTCAAGCCCACGGGTATCATCTGAAGGCCAAGCCCGAAGAGAATTTGGGTCCGGACCATAAGTAGGTAGTTCTATGGGACATAGAAACTAACCAAAACATCATAGGTCCAGCAGGAGAGACTGTAATGCGAGCAAAGGAGGCTCCTACTTAACCTCGGTCAGGTGGAGGGGATGGTGGCTTCAGGGGAATTAAGGGAAGGAAGATGAGAGCAGATGTGAAAACTCTTGGAGGGAGGTGAGACGTTGTTCAGGTTTTACTCTGGTCCAGACGAGAGCGCTGAGAACGCCTCGTCTGGATCACCTCTCAAATCTTGCCTGTTAATCTTTGACTCACGCCTCCCTTGAGCCCTATCTGAAGGCGGGGGAGGGGAGCGGGTCGCGAGACAAGTCTTCTGTGGCCCCCTCTGACTATTAGATCGAGACATGCCAGGACCCCTCTGGGCTAAGACCTGGACCTTCGTGGAATGAAGGATTTAAAGGCAGCCGAGCGTGTCTTGGCCTCCTTAAACTTCTCGACCACCGTCTCGACAGAAGCGCCGAAAAGCTCAGAAGGGGAAACTGGCGCATCAAGGACAAAGCCCTTCTCTTTCGTCCTGATATCAGGCAGGTTCACATTATGGCTGTGCGATTAATCAAAATCGTCATAAAATCGCGATTTGAGCTTGCGCGATTTCTAAAACGCTTTATAGCACGATTTTCCACGCCCCCGACCTCCCGCAGTATGCTATCTGAATCAATCAGAATGCAGCGCGCCTAAATGGAGCACGAGAACAGAAAAGACCGGGCGGGTATACAAACGTAAGGCCAGGTTCACACACCATCTGTGGTGCATATTTTTTCCGCGCCCATGTTAATGGATCAGAGCGTTCACACTGCACGCGATTGC